TCCGATCTCTGCCCAAGATCTATTTGATGTCAGTGGCTTTTGTTCTGGGATTTACTCTCTGACTTTGCACGTGCAGGAAAATAGGAATCAACACAAACTATTTTTTTAAAGAGACACATTTGATTAAGTCACTAAAGGACATCGATTCATAATCAAAACTACATATATGTATCCTGTTATTCCAGGTATAGCTCTCAACAATTATATTTTTTTCTGTATTCCTGATCAAGAATTCAGGGCAACAGAAGAAGAGCTTCTCCTTGGATAACTTCTCTTAGATGATCATTTGAATCAAGTGCAAATTATCACAGTGCTTCAGGAGGCCTGTCAGGGTTAGGTGCGGATTCCTCTAGTTCAGAGAAGGTCAGAAACGGCACCTCATGATAACTACAAGGAACTGCAATTTAACCACCTCACACCAGCACTTTGAAAGAAACTTTCTCTCTCAGTAACCTAGGGAGAGCTAAGCAACCAAATCTCTGATATCCCATGGGTCTGAGAAACTGGTCTCCTTTAACTGCTTTAAAAAACGAAGCGCAGCAGAAGTGTCTAGGGGTTTCTTCTGTGTCAGGTATCAAAGTTGTTCAAAAAGAATGTCAACACTTTACAGCCACCTAACATGTCTGTACAGACTAGGGAATGTTTCCATATTGTTTTCAGAGTTTTCCCACAATGTTATGTTGCATATTGAACTAATTGGACAATGTATGAAACATAATCAGAGCACATGCAACTGATTTCTACTGAACAGATTATGAAGGTAAAGCAGAAGCATTTTCAGCAACTCAATTCCACAAAGCACTCTAATTCTAACCCACAATCTCCTTCAGACAATCAGCTTTCAGAAGCATATTTTCCCACATGTACTAGGGATGTACATGCCATTCTCCACGGCATTAAAAGAGTAACTCCACCAAATCCCCTCCAGAAAGGTTTGACTGGCTTAGAAGTTTGTTAATGGCCTACAGAAACCGTGAGCTCCAGTTTGCCAGTTTAAAACTAGCTACTGGTGGCCAACGTTGCCTGGAGGTCATTGAAACCGAAGGGCTCTTTGATAACCCGTACGGGAGGACTTTGGTGACCTCGGCTCATTGTCACGGCTGCCGTCAGTGTTAGCAGAGATGGGAAGGAGTCTGCCAGCATGAACACTGTATCTCTCCCTGATGCACTGGTTTTCAAATGGAGTAACTGGCTGACTAAGCTGGACAGTTAGACTGATCTAGTCACCAGTGCAAGACTGTTGATAAAGGCGATAATGCAGCTCACGTTCATCAATATACTTTTATGACAATAGTGACTTGTTAAACAAACCTGATGATATTTCCCTGAGGAAATCGCAAGTATGGGTGATAAAGGCAACTGTGTAGATGCAAGATTGCTAAAGACAGAGGTCGTTTGACTAAGCGGTGTGAAACACCGATGAAAGAACTATTATTCAATCACAATAAAGAGCACATTAAATAAGAATAAGAAAGATAGGCCTGACCTAAAGATTGTATCTGGAAGACTGCTTACTCTGAAAAGGATTTGTGTTCATACCGGACAGAAAGCTGACCTCTTAGCATGTTACTGGCCAAGAAAATTCAAATCACAACACATATAGGAGAAATGAATGACAGTGGGGAAATAGTTTTACTTCTGTATATGGCAGCGGTCAGACTATATTGGCATGCTGCTTGTATTTCTCAGATATAGGTTGTTAAAGGATCCTGAAAAATTAGAAAGTGTACACAAGGATAAAAAGCCTGGTTTGAGGGTAAGGAAAAGTGCCTTTCTCTGAGACTCTTAAAGAGCTCAGTCTGCTTAGATTATCAGAAAGAAGCTTGAGAGAAGGATTGATCACAAACAAAAGGTACAAGATTTTCTAAAGGACACTATAATCTTTTGGAGGAAAGATTTAACAAGGACTCATGGCTGAGAACTGAAGACAGGGAAATAAAATTGACACATTAAATTCACGGTTTTATAGGAATTGTGATTCACTAAGGAAACTAGCTACCAAGAAAAACTGTGAAGGTGTGAAAAACATCAGTGGATATTCTCAAGTCAAGATCAGGGTGGGAAGACATGCTTTAACCAAGCACAGGTTACTGAGCAATGTACCAAGGTAACTGGACAATGACCTGTTATTTGCAGGATGAGTTTTCCAGCTTTATATGACTCTCCAGAGAAAAGCACACTGATTGATTGGGCTACGAGAATTTACACTGCCTCCCCAGTTAAAAAAGAGGGGATTTCAGGGTTATCAATCTTCCCATTTTCATCACCACCAAAGTTCATATAATAAAGCAAATCCCACACAGACTGAAAAGCGAGGAATTGCCCCAGCTGAAGAAAGGCTATACTGGAAGAATAATCGCCCAATAAAAGACCTGGGGCGCAGTGGTGACGGGCGGCTCGGCCACCACAGAATGTCCCTTCCAGTGGTAAACAGGAAGCCCCAACAGACACAGTGCTATTGTAAAACACGCCGCAGCGCTGCAAACACTCAGCTCTTACAGCACTACCAGTGGAAGAGGGTCCTATGCTTACCATGCTCTCTTCTTTGCTTAAAGTACAAAAATAAAACCCCCCAAAAAACCCAAAAAACAAGGAAAAAACAAAAGGCTGTTTCTCAAGGTTTAGGAGAACTCAATCATAAAACCATGATTTACAACGATGTAAAACTGTAGCTAACGGTGCCTTCACCTGCACTCTTAGTGCCAAAGCGAAGCGTAGAGTTGCATCCTGCTGTAGCTGTTTTACGTGTCCTGGCAACCACATCCCCCAGTGGGAACTTTACCCTATGAAAGAAATCGGCTTAGTGAACACAAAAGCTGTCTGCAGTGCCCTGACAGCCAGCCCTGAAAGGAAGAATGAGGTTCTGCTCAGTTCTCAAAGGCCTCTTTATGCAAAAAATGCCTTGAGAATCAGCAAAAACGATGAATCATGTCATCATGATGTTGGCAGCTCTCAATGACTTTGCATACAAATATGCTACTTTATTGAGAGCCCTGAGAAAGGCTGTGATTGCAGAAGGTGAAGCATTAGTATGCCTGGCAGGGATACAGAGAAACCACAGTGAGCCACAACTTGTGTTTCATTATGGCCCTGAATACCTCATATACATAACATATACATGTGCAGATCCACGCGCTCAAACAATCTCTTTCAAATTCGGTTCCTGTGGAGTTGGACTGGGGAATAACTAAATCCGCTATATCTGGCCACCACCATAATCTTTTCAACAAGGTTGAACATGAAATTTCATCTAGGTTACAAAGAAAGCAGACCATCCCTTTTATCTGTTTTGTTAAAAGCATATAGCTCAAAGAACAGAAGATAGCCAGAAATGGAAAAAGATGCTCCGTCTATCAGCAGGTCACAATAAAATAGATGAGGCACAGCTCAATCTCTCTCTCTCTCTCTAATTTTAAATGAGGTTTAAATTACAACCTGATCACTCACAATTTTTGAGTGGATAGAGGCTGTGAAGTGCTCAAATACTATGGTAAGAAATACACTGTGAATACAATAAGGTAGTTATCAGCTCCTGAACTCTTCCAGTCCAGAGCCGCAGAGATGGTCATATCAGAGATATGACAGCAAGAGCAATCATATAACTTAATCAAGTATAAAGTAGAATCAAATTCAGAATTAAAATAAAATTCAGAAACCACTTGTAGACATCTTGAAGAGAAACGGCAAAAAAAGATCTCAAGAGACTACAATATCTTTAGTTTTCTACCTTTCTAGACTCCAGGGTTTGAACACTAGAATGGAAAAAAGTATATTTCAGTTTTGTCTTCGAAATAAATTCTATGTTTAAATTAGTAACTACAAAATGGACCTCTACTTTCCGGATCATGCACCTTACAACATACTGTTATTGGCTTGCCTTTCAAAGATTAAGTTCATGAGGCTATCATCTGGTCCTCTTTGAAAGGCATCAGCAAATACTGTCATCCAGCTCCCTTTAAAATCAGGTTTCAAATTAGATACTAGAAAGTAGTCAGTGTTTAAAACAGAACACAAAATTAATATCTGCTATTTTCCACTGAGCAAAACAATGATGAGTCTTGAAGTATTAGTCATTGGTGCTGGAGTCTGCCCCTTAGCCCTCTTCAGGATTAAGCTTCATGTGATGTGTGACGCCATTTCTGTCATTTCTTGTAACATATTCGCCTCCTTCCGATTTTGATCTCAGTTTTTACAGCTGAAGATTTTGTCCACATTCAGCTGGATCTAATTTCCAGAGAATTCAATGGGAATATTCTCACGAATTGGTCTGTGGGTTCAGACCCCTGTTCAAGAATTCCTGACTACTATTTGGCAACAATATTTTCAAGCGTCTTTCCCCAAGGCAGTATAATATGAAGTGAGCTAGCTGGAAGACCGCTACTGAAAACAAGGAAACAAGCATGCCTCGACTGCAGCCCTTCTGAAATACAGAGGGAAACAGTGGTGTCTCAACAGGTTTATCCCTATGTCACGACAGGGGTAGACAACACAGTTCCCCATTGGCTCTTACTGCTCCTTATGCGATGCTTACGATGAAAGGATAGCTGTGAATTAGTAAGGTTTTGGCATTTCGTATTTCTCAGAATACAACATAAGAAGTTTTGACAGCGTGTCTTCAGAAGGCTGTATGGAGCGAAATGAAGCCAGGATTTAGCTAATTAAGGTGAATTTAAAGATGTAATACAAAGAGGAATAACAACGTTCCACACCACCAGTGCTCTATGGCGGGCGCGTGGTGAACAGTAAGAAAGAAAGAAGGGAAGCTTGAGACACAGAAAGATACATCTGACCAAAAGAGCTGACCTAGATAGCTGCAGTTGTCACCTTCAGTTGCAGGCTGTAGCTCTGTAGGAATGTGCAGCATGTTAGCCTTGAAGAAGTGACAAGGTCTGACCAGTTCATGTCAGAAGTTAGTAGAGATGTGCATGTATTATGTAAAACTTCAATAATGTGGGTTGTGTTTTGTCTTCTTCAAAAGCTTTTTTACATTTTTGTTGTGGGTTTTTTTTTCCAATAACTATCTTCCCTCACTTTTAAAACTTACAAAGTGAGTATTCAAAGTCAGCCCTGAAGCCAAAGTACACCTCCAGTCTTGCAGTATCCAGAACAGGATATATTTACCTAGGGTAGCCCAGGACTAACAGGCATCTAGTCTAAAACAGATAATGCAAGGGGCTGCTCTAGGGCCTTCTTCAGATAAACAGTGCCATGTGGGAAACTTTTTGGCCTCAAGTGAGGAAAGCATCTATACACCATGAGAGGACAAAAAAATAGTGTTGTTAAAGCAGTACTTCACAAGAGCACAGGCGACAGATTCCAACAGGCATAAGGTTCATCCCCTGGTGTACCATGTGTGCTTACATGGTCGAATATGTTAGAAATCAAAGCTCTCCCAGGACAAACTATGCACATGTTTTTACCTTGTAGGAATAATAACTCCTGTGTAGCCCAGAACATTTTTCTTTAGAGGTAGAAGGTTCTATGTTTTCACCGGGGTCTAAGAAAGATGATTTCTTTAAAGGTAACTGAGTCCCCAGCCCTGACATCAGCTTAAAATAAATTATTAAATCAAGATGGCAATGTCAAAAACTGCAGAAATGTTTCCAATTCTACCATAACTTGCCAGTAAATTGACATGTTCATTCATTCACCAGACTAGTCGTGTTCTGACCTCATGATCTGGTCTCCCATACTTTCTCTCTGACAAACCTTGCTGTTGTGGGACATAAGGCCCCTCTGAAAGGCCTCTCCACTCTTGGCATACCAAGTCAGGATTCAAATAATCTCTTTTAAAATAACTGTATAAAATTATGACAGACACTTAGGGTTAGATTTCATTATACTTCCACAAGATGAGAAGATCTTTGATCTTTGAATATCTCTAGAAATAAAAGGAACTAATTAAGAACTGAGGTATTTAGCAATGTAAATGAGCATGACAAGTGTAAAGAGCATGACCTAGACCTTCATCTGCAGTGGCAGTATGGAAAACAAATCTAGAAAAGCCTACACACCTTCCACTAAGTGTCGCTTGTAACAGTTCGCTAACAGAGAGCAGACACCTTCTCAATTCAGGGTAGTCCTTATGGCTGGCAGGATGCCACCACAGTCACAGACGATAAAGGGCATTTTACAATTGGTATATTTATTACAGGTCACCAAGAATGGTCACCAAGCCACAGTCCAGCTTGCTGTCATTGTTCACAGTTCAGCGGTATGAGTCATTTCTCCCACTCACCACTTTTATCCCCACTATTACCTTCAAAGCCTGCCTCCAGCTTCCTACCACTTGCTTCCACTGCACCCTCTATCTCACATAATTAATGAACCAGAATATCTCACATCCAGTCTTCTGGTCAGAATACGACTTGTGTATCCAGCACACAGAGGAAAGAATGGGGGAAATCCATTCCACCAAAGCATCCTTCAGTCTTATATTTCATGTCAAAATTTCACCTTTAATTAATCCGCTGTAATCCAGTGGTCTCTAATTTAAGAAGATACCCTAGCACATCTCATTTTTCATTTATTCTATGTTACATGGAATTGCTCAGAGTAACGTTAGCTCTTACACAAAAGACGACTTCTATTACTATTTCTTGCAGCGTTTGCTGAGCTACTGGACATTCTATTTTGGTGCTTTACCTAGAGTCCCCCATTCATACAGCAGCTGAATGTATCGAATTTTCAACAGAAAAGACATAATGCAGGTCAGATTATGTCTTCATTAATGGAAAAGCGATGTACATCAATATGCGCAATATGTCAACCGAAGTAAAAAGTACCTCTTTGCAGCCTTTTGAACGTCCATATTTATAGTGCATTTTGACTTATTAAACAATAGCCAAGCAATTCCCTTCATGTCAATAGGATTCCTCTGTTATACATGAGCTCTTAAGTGGACAACCCAGTAATGTAGAAGTCCTACACGTAATGTACATCCTAATTAGGTTGTGGAAACTACATACATATTATCAAATAGCGTGGACCTATGGGAGAGGCTGTGTAAAGTGCAACAGTTGCTGAGGATATGACATACACACTGCATATATTTCAGGTTGAGGTTACAGAGAACCAGGGCTGGGCTGGTCCCATGGACCGATTTGGCCATCAACAGTGAAGAGGATAGATGCTCTCCTACAGGAACATCTTCTGGCTTAGGTTGGCCTAAAGGGAACCCAGTCTGTGCACTTTAAGAGTGTCTGCAGTGCAAAGACAAGCAGCGTAAGCGGCAGTATGGAGATTCATTTCAGAAGTATGCTGCTTATTTGAATTCAAACATCAGTGTGGAAGCACCCTAGGTGTGTTTGGACCTCAGATAAACCTTCAGTGTGGTTTATCATTTGCACACAAAAAATGCCTAACTCTTCCTCTCTCAATACGACAGCACTTAACATGCATACTTCTATTTTCTGCTTACAAGATGGTATTTCTTGGCAGAATGCACAGAGACAGCACCTGTTATTAAATCACTGGAATCATGTCAAGAACTGAGTCAGAGCCTCTGAAGCCCAAGCAATCTAAGGCAAAAGCATTAACTCCAAGTATCAGGGCTCTTTGCTTGAATCCTTACAGAGCATTTCCTCATCTCTTCACTGCAAAACCCATTACTTCATCGGCCCTGGCTTTCTAAAAAAAAAATTGGACTTCAAGGTAGCAGGGTAGCAAGAAGGGTTCTGTCATTCTTTGTCTTACATTTTGTAAAAGAATAGGAACATGCATTTTACATGTTCCAAATCATTGGAGGCGATTATGCTAATATTAACGTCATACATTTTATCCAGACTTTAGTACTACAGGATGAAACATATCTGCAATTCACATATCGTATGAGATGCGTTATTAAATATAAGCACACGTATCTACATCCACCAATAAACATAGAAAGAGTAGTTTTTAAAGTTATCTAGCCCACATCTAGGTATATACTAATACATAATCATTAAAATACTCTTTCTATATGCATATAGAAATACAAAAATACACCTATACACAATTTTACATATATAGAAGCACAAATATGTGCGTGCATATGTATTGAAAATATGGAGACACTAAAGCCGTGGCAAGGAATTTTGGTAACTAGGGAACAGTTCAGATCTCTTAATGGTCATATAAAAGTTTATCCTGCTTTCTGATAGTTAAACTGACAAGCGACTGATTTCTGAAAAACAAACTAAATAAAATCAGTTCTTTTCATTATGAGAAGCAAAAGGTATAGAGACACTGATTTACCAGTTCTGCCAGTACAAACACAAGCAATCTGTAAAAAAACCTCGTCGAAAATTATAAAGCTCAATTAAGAGAATCCAAATGCAGTTTTCTTAATCTGTGAATGGTCAGCAACTTACCTACACAAGCAGAGTCTTCAGTCTTTAATCTGTATCCATTAGGACAGTTCCAGTGCTGCAGAGCTGAGAGGCTGACAAAACCAATTTTAAAAACCACTGGCAAAAAAGCAACAAGGAAGAGAAACATAATCTTGAGGGTTTTTTGAACTGTCACTAGAGAAAAACTAGCTTGTGTTCAGTCATATCCAGGACAAGATGAGCATGTGTAATCCCAAAAGGTTTCTGCAATCTCCCACTTTACACTCAGACATCTTATCACAATACCAAGTTTTATCTTTGCCTTGCTTTTCTTGTCACTTGAGCCCTTACTGTGTCAGGCTACAACCTTGAAGAAATTCCTGGGAGATTTCTTCCCCACACACATCAGTTTTTTTCTCTCTCTCTCTTTAGTTTCTTTTTTTTTTTTTTTTTTCTTTTTTGGAAGCCAAGTATGAAATGCCTGACACTCTTGCCACAAATTTAACACAGCTTAAAAGCAATGCTCGCAAGGATCACTGCGAATTTCCTCACAACAAGCAAAGCTGCCGTTTAAATCTTAAAAGCTGCGAATTTGGAAAACCGTTCACCACAGCCCTCAGTGAAGTGCAGGGAGGGAGATCTCCAGGTACCGTCCTTCTCCAAAACGCAGTTGCTTTTTACATATAAACTTGGACGGACTCCTCTTTTCTTTTTAAAGCTCTGCTTGCCCCACCTCTTCTCTTTTTAGTACCACTTGAGTGAACCCTGTGTTTGCAAATAGTAATGTGGTCAGTTCCTTACTACAGGGAACTCAGCCAGAATGCAGATACCCAGGCACCCGTAATAAATAGTCTATTTAGAAAAGCAGCCCCTCCTGCTTGAGAAGTACCTGCGGCACGCCGGCTGAATTTTATTTCTCAGCGATTGTAAGCAGGTTTATACCATGCCCGTTCAATCATGATTAGCTGCATTCACTTTAATATTCTCATGTGTTTTACCACCAGAAACAAACTTTGTCATCGAAAAATTTCACGGAAAATGGGAAAAAAAAAAATATCCCTCTGGTTTCTCCAATATATTCCAACTGGAATGCAAATTGGCTTAAGGTCAAGTTCAGATCTAGAGTATGTGTTTGTAATTTTGATTTCAAAGAAGTTGCAACCATCACTCTCAGGTCTGAATTTGGCCGTTCTGCACTTCCAAGAAAATACCTGCTGTCAGAGTCTGAGGCAACATGTTCTGAGTCTGCATCTCACACATATTGCAGTCATTTGTATGTACACATCAGTGCTGTAAGAGGCTATTGTTGTTATGCAGTGCTCTTTTACACCTGTTGTGCTGAGGTATATAAACCAGAGAAATTCCAGGTACATCAAACTCATATTTCTTCCAGTATTGGGGGAAAAAAAAAACCCAAAAATCTCCTTTTTCCCAGTCCTTTGGCCCAGACCAGCAAAGCTCTAGAGCACAAGCATAAGTGATTTGCTGAATTTTGAATATGCTGAGATTTAAGCAGGTGTTTAAATGGTTGACTGTGCCAGGCTTTGTTGAGCTAACTACTGTGAGGCATTCTGGTTCTGTCCCTCTTTTCTTTCCTGTTTTTAAATAATTTCTGCAGTATTGTGCTAGGATAAATACTAATAACAACAGCTGGATACAGCAGCAGCATCAGATGGCAACCTACAGCTGTATGAGTTCCCACTCTGGGAATTCTCCCCTCTCCCCATATTTGTCTGAACAGATAAGAGTCCAGACTTGCACTGTCAGAAAATAAGCAGCATGAAACCTGATTATAAATTGGGCCACTCTCCATTAAAAGCAACTGTTTCTTGATGTTTCTGCCTGTGTGCAGGCACATCTTGCTCATACAGCTAAGGCAACAAATTAAATCTGGACTGACAAATGGCAGCCACATTTCCATATACCCTGTTCAAACCCGAGTCTCTATTCTGAATGCTATAAAATACAATAACAGTAATGTAAATTATGCAGGGCCAGACTCATGCCAAACAGCATTTGCTTCTCCAAATAGTCCCCTGGAATACAAAAGGGCAACCAGTGTGAAAGCACGGTATAAAGCCATCCCATCTAAGATTACAGGGTCCTGCCCAGGAGCTGTGGTACGCTCCACGTGAGCGCCTTCTACTAATTCTGCAGCCGCCGGTTCCTCCTCACACAATTTTCTTCAGTGTTCAAGCTGGGAGCACACAACCTAAACAGCCCAAAAGGAATGTGTCACTTCTTTGTGAGCAACCACCAGCAGAGTGTTTGCTAGACCGTGAGGGCGGCTGTCCCAGCGCAGCCCTGACCTCTTCCAGGGCAGACTCAGACAAACTCACTGAGGATGGCAAAATGAATAAGCTCTCCCTTCCCTATTAAAACCCAGAAGCAATTTCTGTTTTACTTGCACTCTTTCAGTCTCTCATTTACACACACTGTCTTTTCTGAACACGTTTCTCAATCTTCCCTCCCTCGCTCCATTTCTTCTTTATGCCTTTGCTCAAAACACAGTCAAAGGCATGTCCCAGAATTTCTCTCTTTTCTCTAAAATAAAAGAGAAGACAGAACTGTCTGACACGCCAATACCACAATGGTCTTTTCTGGAAGAAGAGATCACTTCACTGCAGTCAGGTAAAGAGTGGTTAATAAAGTCATTAGTTTTACCATCCTAGAAGTATAGGAATGGTTTAAAAATGGGAAGAAAAGTCTCTTAACAGTGGGTTCACCTTTTCTTTTTTTTCAGAAACCTAATGTAGCTCAGACCGGAACTAAACCCCAGACCCACAGTATGATATGACCTAAGCCTAAGGATGTAAATAAGTTACTTGAAAGCAGGTAAAACCAATCAAGTTCCCCTTAGACCAAACCAGAGAGTTCTCAATAAAGTATGAAATGCATCAGGCTGTACCACACCTAAAGTTTCCAAACATGCTATTTTTCACCAAGTGGTTCAGCATACCGCACACAATCATTCCCTCACACCTAAAGTCATCTAGCATTTAAGTTGTTCAAACATCTTTCTACAAAGCAAACTATTGTGCTCACCTACTGGTATTAAGTACAGCAATTTACTTTAGTCTAGCACTCATACAATTAATTAGACTAAAATAGCACAGCAGTCTCATTTCTAGGGCTCACCACAGAATCAGTCCAAATGATCTTCAAATTATCTGTCTCAGTACATCAAATGCAAAGAACTGACTTAGTTTAATTTGACCTGCTGTCTCAAGAGACTGATGAGCTAACAACAAATACATATTTTCTTCCTTTCTTTTGGAAAGGAAGAAAACTTCTCTCTATCTCGGCTAGCTTTGGAAGGCTTTCTTTGCCAAAGCTGGTAAAGTCCAGCTAGCGATCTAAACGGAGGGGGTCTTCTCCCCTACCTTGGCAAAGAGCTGCTGTTATCTATTTCGAGGACGGTATGTTCTGGCTGTTTCTAAACTGTGAAGGAAACAGAGCCCTCCCTCAGTTTCCCAGGGTTTTCAGTATCTATATGGTATTAATTAGCACATTGTTTAAGTCGTATATTGGTTTTTATTCTTGCTTACTCCACATTACACTAGCTTGTCAGCACTTCGACTTCTTTTCCTGTCAGCCTCTGAAAGTTTGAGTCTGGCCTTAGGCATATTCTAATCTGGTTAAAATTATATTTTATAGTCATTACAGTCCCAATTACCACCAACACAAGTTAATGATTAAATGCAAGAGTTCCCTGAAACAGCATCAGAAATGTGTAGTGGCTACCTCTAGTGCAAGCAGCACAGAGCCGTGAGGAACGCTCAGATCCCACAAAACAGCTTCCAGATCCTCCCCGACGGCCCCAGGGAATCTGCCAGCCCCTGGGTCAACATGCTCACGTACGTGTCGTTCCGTCGGAAAGGGGCACTGCCACCAGAGCGGTAGCCGATTGACACAGGCGACTTTTACAACGATACTGGGGATTTCTGAGAGCCTTCAGGAAAAACACACAACATTTTTGTAGGCCATGCCTTACACCTACTTACCGAAGCCTGATCTCAGGGTCAGCGTGGGGATGGCTGACTCTACTTTCTCTGACGTGACAGCGCTTGATTCAGTACTGCTAACGTCATTTCAGCAGGTTGAGCCTGCATTGTGTGTAATTCTGACAAAAGGGACATTATGCAATGTTAAATTGCCTGTCAGACAGAGCAGGAGGAGGCACAGCGTGAGAGAGTGGCATATTCCAGCGATCTCTGAAAGCCAAGAATGCCTGAAATCTCCTCCCGAGGTATGATGGCCATCCTGGTTTTGTCCTCAAGCATGTCCCTCATTGTTCTCTTCAACAATTTGGAGATGATATTTGGCTGTCAGGATGTTGTAATTTAATTTATTAGTAAAATTAATTGAAGAGCAAGGCTTTAAATCATGAAAGCTTTATAAAAATCAAGTGCTATCATAGGTAATCTCTTTCCAGTTGTCTCAATTTGTTTCACAGCAGCAATTACGACAAATACACACTGGAATTTTTTTTGGTAGTTTGAGTCCCATGTCTTTTCTGCTAAGGTTACAATTTTTCCTACTGCAATCTGATCTTGAGGAAAAGAAAAAGACAAAAAAGCCCATGCTAAAACCATACTGTTAATTATAACTGGTACTATCTTTTTAAAGCAGTTTTATGTTTAACATTTTGACAGGCACCTTTCACCAGCTGCTGTACAGTGAATACTTATTTCATCAGCTAGATCACACTGCAATCCACAGGAAGATCCAGAAAGAAAGTTAAATATGCTGTCATACATCCAGACAGTCAGAACAAGAGTGAAACATTCTGGGGAAGCCACATCGCACATTACTGGCTTACGACATTTATCCATGTTAGATGACTACATTAGGCCCCTCTGTTAGCAGACCTTTATAAAGGAGTAGTTAAAACAGCATGTTGAAACAGTGATTTGGCGCTCTGAAGTGGAGATAAAAGTGAAGATAAAGCAAGTAATTTGCTACCATGAATAAGGTCTATGCAGCTTGCTATGTGAAAACGTTTAAGAAAGGATCTCAGCAACAGGTATGGCATCATTTCATTATCAGGGTCAAAAAAAAAGTATCCTCCCCGTGTTTTTTTGCTGTGTTTCCATCCCAGGGATAGCTCTGTTTCACCCACAGCAAAATGATTTCTAGTGCACGTACTAGAACAGCCGCTCTAACAGATCTCTCGGAACAAAGGCACTGACTGAAACCTGATTTCATTGATCAGATTTCAGTTTTTTTTTGAAACCT